AAAAAAAGAAAGAGGGGGGAGGGGGTGGGGGGGGGGGGGGGGGGGGGGGGGGGGGGGGGGGGGCCTTTATTGTCCCAATGCATCCATTTAATAATTTTAATGAAAATTATAATTTAAACTCAATACGTTATTATTACACACTGTTTTAAAATGTACTACAATACTGAAGTGCAGATAATCATGTCATGGTCATGCAGAATATGTGCTTTATAAGTACTAATAAAAAGCCAAAATGCTAATGCTAATAATGCTAATAAGCAACTAGTTAATAGTGAGAATTGGTCCCTATACTAATGTGTTATCCAAACAATATATCTCTTGTTCACAGCGATAACAAATTTGTTTAAAGTTATAAGTTGCAAGTTTTAAAAAAATGATCGCACAAGCTATATTTATATAACTTATATTATATAAGTTATATTGATAAGTTAACTCTACTTTCTGGAATACGGCCTGGAGAACGCTATCTGTCATTGATCTCAGTGGCTCAGGTACCATGTGACTAAGGGCATGAAGGAATGAGACTTTAAGGTGTGTTGTCATTACAAAGTGGAAAAGCAACTTGCAAATAAAAGGACAGGCAGCTGAGAATGCACAATATTTGCAAGGCTGTTAAGTGTTAGCTACTTTGTAGCTACACATACAAAATACATAACCATAACCATGCTGCTGTGTACAGTATAGACACTAATATGTGAGTATGTGAGTCCCTGAATGTGAGCCCTATGCGCTCCCATGAAAGTGATGTGGAGTGTGACAAAATAAGAGGGGAGGGTCTCATTGAAATCCAACCACAAGTGTTCACAGGAGACGCATTTGAAACGCATGTTCATATCGGGTGGAAACAGTAATGCGTCTTGGCGGAACACTTGTGATTAGGTCAACACAATCGCATTTTAATATCAGCTGGAAACAGAGTCTCAGGTGTTGGACGCTGCCTGGTTTCACCACATCAGGGACAATGAAGTTGTATGTTTTAGACAAGTGGGAACTTTAATGTGGAGAGAAGGGGTTGGTAGTTGACCGGGATTGACCTGGCATCATAGCAGCATCTTAGCTGAATTATTTATGAACTAGGCTTTTACATTTTCATAAAAAGCTGAATGGTGCTTGCCTATTCAAAAATGATTTGAGGAGTTTCTATAATGTTCTATAATGTTTGGTGGGGTTTGGGGGCTCCAACAATTTAAACGTATCATAAAAGTGCAAGACAGTACAGTACAATACAATAGTTTTGTTTGAGAAACTAAATGAAATGTAAACTCTTATTTGCTCAAAGTAATGGTTTTACACTTCCAACATGCTTACTGTATATTCAAATGCATTGTTTAAAGATGCATTGTAACAGGTTTAACATCTGTGACATCAAATGTTGCTATCATTGCCAATCATCATGGATGAACATGGCATGGTGCATCTTGACCAAGTGTATCTACATTAAGTGTACAAGAATACATTTCTTTAAACACGTCTGCTGGAGGGAAAAATATCAGTTCTGTTTAGTTCCCAAATCAATTGTTAAAATCACTTCTCAGTCGAGTAGTAACTGAGCAGGACAAGTCATGAGTTTGAGAAAACAGTATGTTTAAAGTCTGCCAAGATTGGGCCGGACAATTCCTCCGCTTCAATTCCTCCGCTCCGTCTTCTCTCTGGAGATCAGCTGTACCGTCCACAGGTACCAGTCGATTACAGGCAGCAGCAAGTGTGTGTGGATGATGAGGTGGAGGATGAAGAACTTCCTGCCAGGCTTTGTGCAAATCAGCCCAAGTTTGGATAGGAGTTGTGGAGTGATAAGTGCACCTCCAGGAAGATTCATATTGCCTCTCGTCTGGTGGATACTGCTCCACTAGATACATTATAAATCATTTACAGAGTCATTTTGGAATGCAATATCTGCTACTAAACTCCGGCTTTTCTCCTTGTTATTATTCCAAGCCCTCCGAGGGATGGAGGTCTGAGGGTCTTAAGCTTTAAAAATTGAAAATTGATCAGTAGCTGAGCAGAGAAGATTTTCTCTCCACTGGGGACGACCCTCCTCATCATTAGCATTTACAGTGTTAGCACAGGCACCCGCGAGCCACTTACAAATACCAGCTTTCCAGAGATGGGGACAGGGGACCTGTGCCTGAAAAATCTTTTATTTAACACATTTCTGTCAAATTTGGACAGAGATGTTGATATTTTGGCTTGATGGGAAACCCTCATACAGTAAGTTTTATTTACTGATTGAGTAGCTCTCAACTGGTTTTGGTTTAGGCCATAAACATGGTACCAAAATAGTTTATTGTACAAAAGAAATAAAATGACCTTAAAAATCAAACGTTTAAATGCATAAATATTACTAAGAGCACTATCAGCTTAACAGTAACAAGTCCATTGCCTAGTAATTAGTTCAAGATTTTCTTTGTTGTTTAAATATTTGGTTGGCACAAATGTAGTCTGGGTTTTATTTTTCTATACCTTGCATAGATTTGTTTCTGGAACTTGAAGATGAGAGAATGTCACAGTCTGGCTGCGTCCGAAAACTTAGGCAGCTGACTTGTTGCCTCGCTGCCTTATCAGGCAATGACTTTAGAGGCAGCGTTTGTACGAAGAAGGTACCTCACAAAACTGATTTCAGACAGACTTCTGCGGCAGCATAACGGTTTAATAAAATACAACAAAAGAGAGAGAGCTAAGCAAATATTTAATTTCTAAAATGCAAATTTCTCCCTAGTAAAGAAAATGTATTGTAATTTATACACAAACTAACCACCAGCCACCAATTTCACTTTTTAGCTCACATAATCAAAAGCACAGGATATCATAGGCAGTGAAGGACACATCTATATCTGAGATGGTATCTCAGTTGATAGGATGTGACACGATCATTGGATTGATGTGTCTTGTTACCTTCAGATTTCAGACGCAGCCACTTTCCATGATCGCATCTGCCTAATTTAGCTACCGGCTAATTTTAACCAAATAACTGATGAACCAAAATACTGTCGAGTTTAATTGAACACACATGCTTTGACATCAGTGGGGTGCAGTTACTATTTTGCTATCCTAACTATGCAGAATTAAATGGTTAGTTGCATTTTATGTTTATCCTTTACAATCTTATCAGTTATGATCCGCCATTTGTGAACCACCCAGTTTCTGGAGAGTGTCGGGATGTTTAAATCAACCTGCAGTAGAGCTTTTATTTGCATGAGTTGTGCAGGCCTTTGGATGCATTAAGAGCACTGTCATATTTATGTGTTCAGTTCTATGTGCATAAAGGAAAAAAAAAAACAATTTCCCATTTAAAATGTTCCTGTCTTCTTTTTTTTTCCTGCAGGAAAGAGGATCTGATGAGAATACTGTACAGCGAATGAGGATTCTTCCGGAGAGGAACGGAGCGGCGCTTGTATGTGTTTTTCTTCAATGACAGGAGTAATCCGGCTGAGTTTGAGGGTCTGAAGGCAGGAGACACGTGCTGGAGGAGTTTCTCGGCGTACGTCGGCATCTAGCATTTTTACGGACCATGGGGTTGGCGGTGCGCAAAAACCGGCTCCTTTTGCACCAGCAGAACTGCTGTAGTGGCAGGGCTCATGACGTTTCTCTGTGGATATGGATTTTTTGTTGGTGCGTGACGCTCATCAGGGGACAAAGCTACAACCCCACCGTGAACACGCAGTATGGGAAATTACGGGGCGCGCGGGTCCCGCTGCCCAGCGAGATCCTGGGACCGGTGGACCAGTACCTGGGCGTGCCGTATGCCGCCCCGCCGATGGGGGAGAAACGCTTCCTTCCCCCTGAGCCGCCCCTGTCTTGGTCGGGGATCAAGAACGCCACTCATTTCGCACCGGTGTGCCCGCAAAACATTCACAACGCCGTTCCGGAGATCATGATGCCAATCTGGTTCACCTTTAACTTGGATATAGTTGCCACTTACATACAAGATCAAAACGAGGATTGTTTGTATCTAAACATCTATGTTCCAACGGAGGATGGTGAGTGTGTCGGGTATAACGGAGAAAAAATAGCCTCTCGCTATTACATTCTGTCACTTCCAGTGTGTTGTGTTTGAAGCATGAGTTGTTGTCTGGCGCATGTCGTGTCTGTGTACACCATTTCCGTTCCTCATCTTGACTTGATCTGCCATGAAGTCTTTCCATCAACTCTTCCCTTCCATGCCACTGTTATGGGTTCCTCTTTTGTGTTGTTCAAGAAGGCAAACCAAAAAGAAAGAAAGAAAGAAAGCTAGAAGAAAGCAATCAAGGAGAAAATAATCTTTTTAATGTAAGAGCTCAGATTCTAATCTGACATGAAGTTTTAATGTAATGATCTTGGTGCACCTCCCTCTCCTCACTGTCTTGACTGTTCTGGGGGATTAGCGATCCGAGATTAGCTTGCTTGATGCCAGAATGAGCCTTTTTTAGAGTTGCAAAAATGTTCTGGAACACAAGAGGCCTGTGGCATCAGTCCTAACCATGTAAGACCCTTTACTGTCCCACTTTCTTCTGTTAACGTTCAAAGCCTGTCTCCAGGAACTTAAGATCTTTAAACGAATTTGATGATCAAGTTCAACATTTGCATTCGCAAATATCTCCCCAGTACAAAGAGCATTTCTTACAAACTCTTACAGATTTGAAAGCAAAAGCGCAAGCTCTGTTCCAAAACCAAGTGATCTGCCATCTAAGGACGCGTACATGCTTGAGAAGGCTAGAAGACTTTGAAGGAAAGCGGATACTTTGATGCTACGAATGCGTAAAGTTCATTATGAGGGCATGCAAAGAGCCGTATCAGTTTGTGTGCGCATGCACAGAAAAATACTACTGTACCTGAAATCGATGCCTGGGTCACATTATGTAGCAGCAAAGATGCTGTTTGTCATTGCTTAAAATTTGCATTTGCAGATTCCACCCCAGCTCAAAGATAAAACTCTCAAAAAAGATGTTTTCAATTGGTGCTAGCTGTAGCAGGATTACCAAGTGCTGTTTATGCACCCATCGCTGCCAGTTGCCTGAGGCTTGGTTAGCTACATTTTTATTATAGTTTTGTAGCCAAGCTAAACAAAACTCTTAAAAGACAATGATTACAGCATCTCCCAAAAAGTGGGGTGGATTAAAAAGGATGACATAAAAATGGTTGCTACACCCCCTATCCTTACTGAAATACAGCACACAACGTAAGCACACAAACAACACTCCTCACATTAAGCTCATGGGAGACTTGACAATTGATTTCAATTGAGTTTAACATTAGCAAGTTGTTAAACTAATGACACAGTAGTACTCTAATAAGCAGAATAAGGCATAGTAGACACAGATATTGGAGTCCACCATTTTTCAGTGAGCTCAGTGCAGTGCATTCTGGGATTGCCTTCACTTTTTAGGATAAATTAATTGCTGCGTTTTAGAGATCTGAGATATCCAAAAAGCCAGCATAATGTTACTGCCTACCTTTTGGAACCAACAGACCTCTGATGCATGCGCTAAAATGCTGTCCGGGTAGTGCGCTATGTTTTGGAACAGATCCAATTGTGTCATCGAAAGCTGCATAAGCTTTTTGTTGCTAAAATTAATCTGAAGTCAAAAAAACTTCCAAGGTTGTAGCACACTTCTCTGCATCTGTTGTCAAAGCACGTTTGGTGCGTCGTGCAAGAGAGCCATGCATTTCTCACGCAAAACCTGGAGTGATGCAGCGGTGCAGAAGTTGTGAGGAAGAAGAGTTTATTTTGTGCTTGTAAAGGGTTTTATATAGCAGTGCATGTGAAACTAGGCTTCCTGTGTTCCAGGGTGCAGCAAATCAATTCCACCTGTTTTGGAATATTTTCTGCCTAAAAGACAAAGCACCCCAGCTAGCGCTCTGGACAGGTTCTCTTTGTTGTTCTTGTGGGGAGGGGGAGTGACGATGTTGCATGTTCTCCTCAAACGTTTCTTCCAGAGCCTTCTGTTATTTTGTAGTCTTCTATTCATTTTACAGTCAAAAGAATATCCAAGGAATGTGCCAGAAAACCCAACAAGAAAATATGTAGAAAAGGAGGTATGTAACAAGCCAACATTGGAGCGATATACAGAGAAGAGAGCGACTGGTACGTCCTCTCTCGTACCCATGGGATATCACCGTCAACTACAGAGTCTTGTGTGCAGAGCAATGTTAAAAATATCTGTATATTTTTTTTCAACAGGTTTTTTTTGTGTGAATATGTGCTATTTCAAATTGCTATACAGTGTGTATGTACACAACCTCCTGTTTTCAACCCTGTTATGTTCAACAACTTAAAAATTACACCGGCTAAAATATATATATATTGATCACTAACAAATATGCTTGCACCATGTCAAACCATTGAACAATATGACTTTTTTTGACCATGGAGAGTTTATACTATTATATTTAAAGGGGTCCTATTATGCTCTTTTACAAAGACTTGATTTTGTTTTGGGGGTGTACTAGAACAGTTTCCTGACATCATCCGCTTTCGGAAGCCCAAACAAAGACGTTTGGGCATGAAGGTGAAAGGCATTTCAGGCGGTCGCATGCCGGACGAGAAGCGCAGCGTCGCGCCACATCTTTAAAATTAAAATATATTATTTTCTATGAGTGTAGGCACACCGGCGTCTCCGTTCGGCATCTGTCCGCGGCGCCCAGCTACGTCGGGTTATATTTGTAAGAATTGTTCTAGACCACGGTTCTCAATTCCAGTCCTCGCGTACCCCCGCTCTGCATGTTTTGCACGTCTCTCTTTGTTAACACACCTGAATTCAGATCATCATCTCGTTAGAAGTAAGCTCCGTGCATGAACTGTGTTCCGATTGACATGGTCCCTACACAGTGTCCATTGCTCCCTACTCCCTGAGCAGGGGAGAAGTTTACTTCACTTCGGAATATTCATTTACAGATTTACGCTCCGCCGCTGCCTGCAGCGTCTTCACACACATACGAAACTTACTAGAGAAGCGTGAAGTGGGACATAATATACCTCTGTAAATAAATACAATTTAAATTCACGTCTCGCACACTTAAATGCCCTTTGTATGGAACATATACGCTCCCTTCAAACTGGAATCATGGAGGAATATCCGGTAATGTCCACTTCGCAGGGCACTTACAGTCAAATATAACAAATGTATGAAGCAATAAGAGAAACATACAAAATGTGCAGAGCGGGGCTACGCGAGGACTGGAATTGAGAGCCGCTGCTCTAGACATGCCAAAAATGTGAGGCTACAGCACAGCAGCTCTTCTTCTTGGTTTTCTCTGATGCACTAACTCTGCAGCAGCTCTTCTTCTTCATCGTCTCGTCTCATGCGCTCACTCAACCAAGCGTTCTAACCACGACCTCGCCCCTCCCCACCCCCCAACCATTCACATTTCTGTAGGCAGGAATTATTTGTAGTGAAATTCTAATGAGCCGCTTTGTGATATCACAAAGCCCGGAAACCAAACGCTGTAGTCCAAATGAGCCGTTCATTGTAGTTCTTGAAAAGGGATTTAAAAAAAAAATGAAATATCTCCCTTTGGAGTGGACTTTGAGATTTGTAACTTTCTAGATCTTTTTAATGCCCAAACATACACACTACACACTGACTAAAATTAAAAAAGTGAAAAAGCATAATAGGACCCCTTTAAATGGACAAGTATCATAGCAGAACAGGGTTGAATGGAAAGTTCAGGGGGGTGGGGGATAATTCAGCATTTAAACAGAAAATTACAAAAAGAAAAAATGTCTAGATATTATATGATAGTAAATGATTCATAGATAATGAAAACACAATTTACTATTATTAGTATTAAGTACAACACAAAATGTATATGCAGTGTTGATGAATGGACAAGCAATTTGGCTCATATTTAGTGTGTTTTTTTATTATTATTTATTTTGGCATTACAGAGTTAAGAGTTATAGAGTTAAGTCTCCAAAATAATCAATTACTATGGCATATTACTGGTAAATATATCTGTAGTAAGTCATTGGGACACACACAGCACACAATGATACAGTTTCCTGACAATGACCTATATATAAACAATGCTGACCTCCTGTTTTAATTGACAGCTCATCCAGTTTATTGAGCGTTGTGTCACTGAGTCATAACGCAAAGCATCATACATAAGATATGAGTCACTGATGTCATACAGCTTGATATGTGTCAGAAGAACATGTAATATCTTATGACACAAGTGACCGTGAGTGCTCCTGCAGTTACAATATGGAGTCTGTCATTACAGAAACCTCAGCACCAATGTCAAAATCAGTGCATTGTTTTAAAAAGCAACAGCCACAATGATAGTTACAACAAGTGTAATGTGTTTAGACTAGCAAAGAACACCTCAAAGAAGATACAGACTAAAAGTAAGAAAATTCCAAATAGGATTCCATTAAGACTTTGAATGCTACACTGAAATAGATTTTTGCTTCATTATTTATCTATTTAGGTGGAAGTTTTTATAGTGATAAAAACAATACTTCTGTGACAGCAAAAGGTTAATTGACATCAGCTATAATTATGCAATAATAATTATAACCTTAAAAATACCACCAGCAAACATACTATTCAGTGGCTGAGTAAACACTTTAACGCAGTGAATGGTATTAATAATGACATCAGCTGAATTTGGTGATCCATTCTCATTGGAATTTATTGAATTTCATTAAAGAGTTTAAAACAGCTTAAGCTGTAAAGGCAGCATCTGTGACTTTCTGTCAATAACAGCAAAATAATTTAGACTCACCCCTCTGCTTAAAAAACTTTTTTATTATTATTTTTATAAGAAATAGCATGATAGCTTATATAGAAATTAATTAACATTAAAAGTCATAGTGGAAGTGTACACTTAACATTTTAAATGCAGAAATGTGAAGCCTGTATTTATGTTAAAACCCTTCATTCTTCTATAATGTTGAGATGTTGTTTTAGTGGTGGGACCTGCTACCTCTAGATGGATGAACTTCTGATGTTATTTCTGTAAACAAGCACTTTACAGATTGTGTGTGTTGTGTGAAAGTTGGATAGGTTTGCACATACAGGCTTTGTAAGTGATTTTTAGACAAATTAGTCTCGTTAACTTGTGCAGTATCATGTTTGGGTTTTGTGGCTGCACCTTTGAAACAGTGTGTCTGTGTAACATCATCAGCGCAGTCACTTTTCCATAGAAACCTCAATCATAAGATATTTATCTGCTTTTATGAACTGAAAGTTGAGTCTAAATAATTTTCATGTCACAGATGCTGTCTTGCCTGGCACTGGTGCTTTTATTACATTCCTTATTGATAGCCTTTTTGGGAGATTCATTCCCATTACGGTGATGTTTATTAAAGGGGTCATATGATGCGATTTCAAGTTTTCCTTTCTCTTTGGAGTGTTACAAGCTGTTCGTGAATAGATAAGATCCCTAAAGTTGCAAAGACTAAAGTCTCAAACCCAAAGAGATATTCTTTATAAAAGTTAAGATTCGTCCATGCCCTCCTAAAATGCCTCGTTCTAACACGCCCCCACATGTCTACGTCACTGTGTGGGAAGATTTGCATAACACCGCCCAAATGTTCACGCAAAGAAAGAAGGCGTAACTTTGATTCTCGCTGTAGTATTGTTGCCGCCGCCATGTCGTGGAGACGCTGTGTGTTTCGTTGTGAAAGCGAAACTACTTTGTTTGGTCTTCTAAAAGTGGACACAACTAGAAATCAGTGGTTAAGATGTATTTACAACACTGTTCCAGAACACTTCAACCCAAATATTCAGATGTGTGCAGTGCATTTTACGGAGGACGAGGACTGTTATGAGTAGCCTACAATGCCGGTGTTCCGGTGAAGTCAGTTCCCCTGTTTCCCCTTCGGCGCGCATGCTGACCCTATACAGTCTATGATGCTGACAAATAATGCTGACTCACAGCCTGTAAGTATGTTTTCATATATAAAGGATTTGCCACTGACGATTCAAACGCGAGTTTTGAGCAGTGTAGAGTAGCACTTGTTGTTTGTCGTTTCTTCGATCACAAATGCAGACATGGTTTTATGTTTACGCGGCGCGATGCAACGCAACGCGTAAAAAGACAGTATAAGTCACTATAATCAGTAATTATGTCCCCACTGGATGCAACAAATGCCTAGTTTATTATGGGTTTTATTGGTTTTATCTTGTCGCACCGGGATACGGCATCACAATATGGTAATGAGCGTAACATTTCCGTCACACGCTTGAGGTATTCGGCCAATCACAACACACTGGATAGCTGGCCAATCACACCTCGCTTTTCAGAATGACGAGCTTTGTAAAAATCGACGTGTTTCAGAAAGGCGGGGCATAGAGGAGAAACAATAATGTACAGTATGTGGAAAATAATTTGTTTTTTGACCCTTAAACCACATAAACACATTTCATTACACCAAATACACAAAATAATGTTCTTTTTAAGCAACGTCATATGACCCCTTTAAAGCACGCTCTAAGACAACCTTAAGAGCAACCTTCTCTAACTACTCAATTTGTATTTTTAAAGAAAACGTTGTTTATATTGTCTATGCATGTTTTTTTTTTATCTTTAATAATGGAACTGAATGTTTGCTTACAGGGACCCAGAACTAGTGAGTAACAAGCAGCTGAAGAAACACACACACACACACACACACAAGTGTGTTATTATGACAGTATACTAATGTTGTCTGGCAGTAATTTGTGCATTAGTACTTGCATTTAGTACACTTAAACTGAGATACTTTTGGATAGCGACATTATTATTATAATGAAATAATGCTACTCTGAAATTAAAAACATGTTCAAAACATAATATAAAAACATCTGAGGTGCACTCACAATGTTTTGTTTGTGTCGCACTGCATATAGAAATGCCCTAGAAATATACATTAAGCTATTATATATTTATTCCACAATCCAATTTTCCCCAGAACATCTTTGGACAGTTACAAAGATAAAGAAAGTGGTATTCACTTATAAAACAAAAATATATGGGAATATACTAGAAAACAGAATGCAATAATTTCCATATATGGTATACAACATACTATATGCATTGATCGTGTA